GGGCTGAGAAGGGAGCCCTGCGGTCTGAGGGTACCTCAGCGCGAGCGCCGTGCGATGGAGCATCTCGGAAGCCTCTGGGGGCGAGCGGCGCACCCGCTCTCGATGGCGATATTGCCTTGGGGGCCCCGCGCAAGAGCGTCGGTGGGGGGCAGACCTGCCCGGTCCGACGGGCTGCAGTGTGACGGATAGCTGGGCACGCGGTGGCGTCGGTGGCCTGTGCGTTGTGTCGTCTCGCGCTGGCGCCATCCGCCTCTGTCCTCGTTTTCCGCGCTCGGCGGGTTCGAACAGGCGCAGGATGCCGGTATGCCATCCGAGGGGTCATCTTCGCCAGGGCAGGTGGGGTGACCGGTAGGTTCGCGCCGCATGGACGCGGCGGCGACCCTGGCGCGGGCGTCCAAGGTTGTCTGCCTTCAGTGGCTTGTTGTCGGTCCTGACCAAACGAGCACTGTCGGAAAGTTGCGATCGTTCAAGGTTGAATGGAGCGCACAATTTGTCACGACAAGGACCTGCCGTACGCCATCCGCGGGTTCTTCCTCGCCAGGGCACCTGGGTAGGTGCAGTACGTATGCTATGTCCCATGGGGACGTGTTCCAGACCAGCTCAGTACGTGCGCTGTAGTTTCTCCTGCGTTGCACTGCGTAACCATCGGCAACAGCATGCATCAACACACAATGGTACGCACAAACCTGACCCACCGCCACGAAGCACGCCGGCTCTGCATCCGTCTTGCTGTGTGCTGCCACGGCTGCGCTGCTGCTTCGGCATATCGTTTCCTTCGTGACGGATCTGCCTGGGGCTCCATCACCTGCATGCGTTTCGCGCCCCACTCCTTCCTCCACCCCAGTCAAGTTGCACCCGTCAAGCGTGCACGACGAATCGTCCAGTTGCCCGTGCGGCGTGCCTCATTTCTTGGCCGAGGGCGAACCTCCCAACCCGCGCCGAGGCTAAAGCTCAGGCATCCGGCGCCATGACTTCTCCGTGGCCAGGGCCCCCAGCCTCTTGCCATGAGAAAGAAGCGGGTCCTGCAGGAAACGGGTCCGGAGGTTTTTGGCCGTTTTTGGGGCTTCTGGGCCCTGGGACTGTCAGAAGATTGGGGGGCGGCAAAGAGGGGGGCTAGGGGGGTGCAGATATCATGGCCTTATTTCCACAGATTTCATGGCGTCTCTTCTTCTTTCATTACGTCCCTGGCCCCCCCTGGGCCGCGCACATTCCGCTGACCATGATTTGCCTCTTGGCCGCCCCCGACAGACGACTCGGGATGGCGACCTCGTCCTGGGGGAAGGTACCAGGGTGCAGGACCCGCTTCCCATCAGGGCCCGCTTCCCCCGTGCCGATGACTCTCGACCACGGGACCAGCTGTCCTCCCGAGACGTTTTTTGGACGGTCCCGAGGCCCGGCAAGGGCCCCGAGAGACTGGCTCGAGGGAGCGAGGGAGGCCAGCTCAGCCTGCTCCCCCCCGCCTTCCCGAACGCGCCCCAAGGGCCCCCCCCCGACCCTCCTCCTCCTCCTCCTCCTCCTCCTCCTCCTCCTCCTCCTTCTCCTCCTCCTCCTCCTCCTCCTCCTCCTCCTCCTCCTCCTCCTCCTCCTCCTCCTCCTCCTCCCCCCTCGAGTCATGTGGCAGTCACGACCGGGGGCCTCCCGCCGTTTCCTGCCTCCGGGGGCCCACGCCGGGCCTCGGGCCCCTCTACCGCACGCCTCGGGACGAGGCGCCGGCCCCCCAGGAAGGGGCCCCGACCCTCTGGGGGCCCACGCCGCGGTCCGGGCCCGCGCCCCCAGCGAGCTGCCCCGGCGCCCGCCGCTCGGGGACCGCGCCCGCGGGGCGTGGATTTTGGCGAGGCGGGCCCCGCTTCCACGGGGAAGTCGCGGGCCTCCGCCGCCGGGCGAGGCGGCGCCGGCCGCACCGCGGGGAGGGCGCCTCCCCCGATCCAGGGATTTGGCGACCGCGCGCCCAATCCGCGGATCGCTCATCCATGTCTGCGCGCTCCCGAGGTAAGCCGATGGGCGGTCCTTTGGAAAGCCGATGAGAAGGAGCGATCTGGGAGAGCGGTGCCGAAGGCTGGCCGCTGGCCCATTATCGTGTCCCTGGCTGGTCACGCTGCTTCGGTGTCTCCCTCCGTATCTGCTCCTGCTCTCAGTCGCATCCTCGTCCTCGAGGGCAGGGGAGGAGACCGAGCTGAAGCGGCGCATCTTCGAGTCCCCGCGGCAGGAGGGGCCGCGGCCCAGAAGCCCCCCCCCGACGGGCGGGGCCGGCCCGGAGGTCCGACGTCACGAGGACAAGTGTAGCATTGAGTCAGTCGGGCCCGTCCCTCTACAGGAGGAATGTTCAGAAATAGTCAAGCACTAGTCTGGGGACTTTTTTGATGTGATGTGTGTATATATATATATATATATATTATATATATATATTTTTTTTTTTTTTTTTTTTTTTTTTTTGTTGTGTTTTTTTGTTTTTTTGTTTTTTGTTTTGAGTATTTCTAATGTTTCCTCCCAAATCCCCCTGTAATGGAACATGCCCGACCTAATTGTAGCATCATAGGCCAACAGGAAGGGAGGGTTTTCGTTGTTTTCGGCCCCTCGGGTCCCTCGCTGGGCCCCGGGACCTTCACGGAAAACGATTCGGGATGAGAGACCGGTCCCGGCGAACGGGTCCAAACCGCCTGGGTCCACGTCATGAACAGAATCATGACGTCGGGGGTCTGGGAGAGGGATTAGTGATGAGTATTAGATCTGATGGGAACAGATCCCGGGGAGGCTTGTCCGAGGGGGGTTGTCTGGCGGGGTTGTCCAGATCTCCGCCAGGTTGTCCAGGGGATTTTCCCAGGCAAGTCGTCTTGTCGCCATTCAGCAACATGGGTTGTCAGGGTTGTCCGATGGATTGACTGGGAAATATCTTTGATGATTATTCCCCATCGAACAAAGTTAGGGGGCGGGGGGGATATCATCGCCCGTGTCGTGAAAATTTCCCCAGATCTCCTGGCGCCTCTTCTTCTTTCAGTGCGTTCCCTGGCCCCCCCTGGTCCGTGCAGAACACATGCCTGGGGCCACGATTCGTGAAGCCCTTTGTTGGACGGCCCCCCCCCCTGGACGACCCCGAAGGACATCGGCGGCGAGGTCCCAACCCTGGCCTCGTCGATCAACGATTCAGGCAACTCGACGGGCGGCGCGGTAAGGGTTCGGAGTTCGTGGGACACATGGCTAAGTCCGAACCCGACCCCCCGCCTCCCATCGATTCAGGAGAATCGATGGTTGGCGTGGTAGGGTTCGGAGTTCGCCACCCAGAGAGATTCGAGGCGGAAGTTTTTTTTTCACCGTTTTTCGGCCTCTGGGGGGCCTACGCGGGGCCCCTGAGATTGTCAACAGAGCGATCCAGGGCGGAAGAAGGGGCCCCAGGGAAAGAGTCGGGGCTTCCAGGGATCCCGCAGAGGTTGACACAGCACCAAGATCGGCGGTGTGCCTCCACCGAGGGAAGATGATCCCGATCTCGGTGATGGTGGTAACATTCTTGCTTCCAAGGTGACCGAAGTATTACCACCAACACCGAAATCTAGGATCATCTTCCTCATGTGGAGGCAGCCCCCTGTGCTGGTGTGGGTGCCAATTTCCAGGCCTCCAACAAGACGTCGCATGCCTGGGCGCGGGCAGGCCGTGACCTCCTGTGTGGCCTGGTCTGGCACACGTCCAGTGCACGCGTGCGCACGTCACGGGGGCTCCGAGATGCCCAAGGGGGGCTCCAGGAGGTCCCAGAAATCGGAGGTTGATGGACCTCCTGCCCCGACGCGTCGATTGGCGAATTGGCCGTTTTCGGTTCGCGAGAGGGCGTCGCGGCCGTCATTCTTGCGGGTCCATGTCCGTCGATTTCGGTCCTAGGCTTAAGTCGGGGGTTTCCCTCTACAGGGGGAATATCCCCAAATACTAAAAACAAACAGTGTGGGGACGATTTTTTGACTACTGTTGGATATTTGGTGGGTATTTTTTGACTATCTTTTATTTTTCGTCCAAAATCCGCCTCTAGGGGGACATGCCCGACCTAATCCTAGGCCGTTTTCACTTAAAGGAGATGCGTCCACCGCCGAAGGCAGCCTCGACGAAGTCCCAAGATGCCTCTGGAGGCGCCCGGGGGCTCTGAGAGATGGAGAGAGGCGTCGTCCCCTCGTGCCCTGCCCCCCGAGGGAACTCCGCGGGTCGGCATCTCCAGGGAGGGGGGCTCCGTGGGAGGCTCCCCTGGAGTTCAGTCGGGCCTGTCCCTCTACAGGATGAAAACTTAATCGGCGGTGGACAAACCTCCCTTTAGTGACAACGGCCTGGGTCTGAAACCGACGGACCTGGACCCGCAAAAATGACGCAGCCTGGTTTGACCATTCTTGAGCATTTTGGGGGTATTTTTGGTGCATATCTTATTTTTGGTCCCAGATCCGCCTGTCGGGGGACATGCCCGACCTAACCCTGGAGGACCAGAACACGGCACAGGTGCGACACTTGGGGGGGGGGTCCGCGCGCACTTCCTGGGTCGGCATCGCGCCCTGCTGCCCGCACTCCTTCCCCTGCGCGCGGAGTGCGCCGGGGGCAGCGCCGGGGGCGCGTCCAGGGGGGCCCAAGGACATCCCCGCGGTCCGGGGGCCCTTCCCAGGCCCCAGGACCGCCCAAAAAGGCGTCTCGGGACGCGAGGCTGGGTCCAGCCGTCGATGCGCGAAGCCCGCGCTGGCCTCGGAGGTTCTGTGCTCGTGCAGTGTCGTGCTCCTCGATCCCTTCCTCCTTTCCCTCCCTCCCTTTTTTTTTTTTGCTTCTCTCTCTCTCTCTCTTTCTCTCCCTCGCCTCTCCCTTCCCCGCAAGGGCCCGAGAACAGCGAACGGCTCCTTGGCCTCTTTCTCTCCAGGGCCCAGGTCCTGCACGCGAGTCTCTCTCTCTTTCGCTCTCCCTCCCCCTCTTCCCCTCTCCCTCCCCCTCGTCCCCTTCCCCTTCCCCTCTCTTCCTCCCCCCCTCTTCCCCTCTTCCCCTCTCCCTCTCCCCCTCTCCCTCCCCCTCTTCCCCTCGCCCCCCCTCCCTCTCCCTCCCCCCCGTCCCGTCTCCCACCGCGCTCCTCCCACCTCCCTCGCCCTCCCCCTGTCCTGTCCCCCCCCTGCCCTTCCGCTGCGGCGTCCTCCACGGCGCTCGTCCGCAGGAGGGGCGCCAGCGCCACATCGAGGACGCCCTGGGCATCCGGTGCCGCCCCGCCGCGCTGCCCTCGGCGGGTATACCCATCGGTCGCTGGAAGCAGGAATTTTTGGATCCCCAGGTCCTTGCGGAAGACGATCAATCGAGAGGAGGCATGTTGCTAAATCGTTTCCAGATGTCTGACACTGAAAAAACATGCCACATACATGTTTTAAAGCATGTTTAACACGCTGCTCGGATCTTCTACAGTCAACCCGTGTAAGAAGGATGCGTGGCAAGGATGCAAGGGCCTAGGAGGTCCACGTTAGAATTTTTCGAACGAGGTTGGCCAGTGGGAGTGGCTAAGAATGGGCCGAAGGGGCAAGGATGCAAGGGTAACCGTGGCAAGGTTGCCCATCCTTACTATGCGGGTTGACTGTATTCAATGATCGAACCGTTAGAGTGTCCATTGTCGTGGCATCCGCAACTTGATCCAATAATCATCGTCATTATTATCATCATCACCACCATCATCATCAGCATCATCATCACCATCATCATCACCACCACAATTATCATCATCATCGTTATTACCACCATCATCACCATCGTCACCATCATCATCATCGTCATCATCATCATCATCATCATCATCATCATCATCATCATCATCATCATTATTACCACCATCATCACCATCATCATCATCGTCATCATCATCCTCATCATCATTATCATCGCCATCATCATCATCATTTTGATGATTATCATTACTATCACCACCATCGCCATCACCATCATCATCATCATCATCATCATCATCATCATCATCATCATCATCATCATCATCATCATTAGCATCATCGTCAGCATCAGCATCAGCATCAGCATCATCATCAGCATCGTCATCATCACCACCATCATCACCACCATCACCATCACCATCACCATCACCATCACCATCACCATCACCATCACCATCACCATCACCATCACCATCACCATCACCATCACCATCACCATCACCATCACCATCACCATCACCATCATCAGCATCACCTGCGCCGCCGCTTCTGTGCTGTCGGCGCAGGGCTGCCGCGGCGCTCCGCGGGCCGCCGCGTTCCGCCGTGGGGTGCAGCCGAGCCCGTCACCCAGGACGAGTACCATACCGAGGATGACGATGATGACGGTAACGACGACGACGAGGACTAGGACGACGAGGACTAGGACGATGATGATGCTGATGATGATGATGATGATGATGATGAAGATGATGATGATGATGATGATGATGATGATGATGATGATGATGAGGATGATGATGATGATGATGATGATGATGGTGATGCTGCTGCTTATGATGATGATGATGATGATGATGATGATGATGATGATGAGGATGATGATGAGGATGATGATGGTGGTGATGCTGATGATGCTGATGCTGAAGATGATAAGGACGATGATGCTGGTACTGACGATGATGGTGCTCATGGTGGTGGTGGCGATGATTCTGATGCTGATGCTGATGATGATGATGCTGATGATGATGGTGATGCTGGTGATGATGATGCTGATGCTGACGATGATAATGATGATGCTGATGATGACGATGATGGTTATCATGGTGGTGGTGGTTGCGATGACGATGACGATGATGATGATGATGATGATGGTGGTGGTGATGCTGATGATGATGATGATGATGATGATGATGATGATGATGATGATGATGATGATGATGATGATGATGATGACGGTGCTGATGATGATGATGATGATGATGATGATGATGATGGTGGTGGTGGTGGTGGTGATGCTGCTGCTGCTGCTGATGATGATGATGATGATAGTGGTGGTGGTGGTGGTGATGATGATGATGATGATGATGATGATGATGATGATGGTGATGATGATGATGATGATGGTGGATCCCAGTCTACTTCAGGCGCCTCGGGCACCTTTCTTATCCATTGGCTGACGCCGCACCGCCGACCCCTGGGGGCGGCAGTAAGAGTGAAAACGGAGTTTGCGGAACGCGCGCGATTTCTGGGGAGTTTTGGGGTTTCAGTTTCTTGGGATTTCGTTGAGGGCGGTTGGCGGATCGCGGCTCTGCTCTAGGTCTTCTCTGGGCTCTCCTGGTCGCACTTTTGAGGCCTCTTGGGAGCCGTGCTGAGGCCTCGAGGGGCCTCTCGGGGGCCTCGTGGGAGCGTCTTGGGGGCCTCTTGGCGCCTCCTCAGGTTTTTTCGGGGCTGAGTGCTCGAAATGTCCATTCGGTTTCCCCCTCTGGGCCTCCTCTTGGGGCCGTCCTGGGGCCCTCCTGGGCCGTCTTGGAGGCTTCTGGGGCCGTCTTGGGGCCTTTGGGGCCGTCTTGGAGCCCTCTTGGGGGCCTCTTGGGCTATTTTGGTTAGATCTTGAAGTCTTCTTGGGCCATTGTGGGCCTCGTGAAAGCCCAAGAGGCGAATGCGCTAAGATTATACGTTTTCCATCGGGAATAGGACGATTTTTTGCTTCTGGGGGGCCTCTTGGGACGCCTCTTGGTGGCTTCTTGGGGCGTCTTGGGGGCTTCTGGGGCCGCCTGGAGGCAACCTTGGTCGTCTTGGAGCGATCTTTCGCCGACTCGTAGCCCTCTTAGACCGTTCCAGGGGCCTTTTGGGGCCCTCTTGGCCAGTTTTGGGACCCCCGGGGGCTCCAAGTGTGCGGCGAGCACTTTTGCGCTCCGCCTCCCCAAAACCGACCGGACGGGGCTCCCGGTGGAGGAGCTTGGGGAGGGGGGAGCATCGCACACGCCGTGACCCCAAGGGGTCGGCCGATGACGGGAAGCGTCGTCGAGGTACGAGAAGACATGTTCAAACAGTGAAATCATACAACAGCATCGTTTTGAAAACTGCTGTTCTAACATCGTCTTGGGATCGCTCTTGAAAAGGCTTCCAGACGGCCCAAGCCAGGCTCCTAAAAATGACGATTTCGCTAGGGACATCCTCAACAAAAGAGACGTGTGTGACATCGCAGTGACATGTTTTCGATGGCATCGAGGCAGCTCCAAACGAGCCCCAAACGAGGCCCAACAAGACCCCAAGAGCGCCCTCGAGATTCCTCAAATTTAGCATTTTGCTCGAGACTCTCTCACCAAGAGGGGTTGTTCGAAACACTGCCTTTCACAAAAACCAGTATCTCGCCTGAGACATCCACCAGGCAATGAAAACCGCGAATTTCACAAACGTATGGAACTGGGGATCTCGCCTGAGGCATCCTCGAAACAGTGAGATGCTGAAAAGGATCGTTTAAGACCATGCGTGTTAAAACTGAGCTTTTCGTTTGAGACATCTTCAGAACATGGGCAGGAACACGGTGGCCCAACACGCAGAAGCACGGCAGACTGCGCGAGAGCTCTGCAGAACACACAGGAGCACGGCAGAACACACAAGAGCACGGCAGAACCCAACGAACACACGGGAGCACGGCAAAACAAACAGGAGCACAGCAGAACGCACAGGAGCACGGTAGAACACACACAGGAGCACGAGGAGCACGGCAGAACACACAGAAAGCATAGGAGCACGGCAGAACACATAGGAGCACGGCAGAGCACGCAGGTGCACGACAGAACACACAGAACACACAGGAAGACGGCAGAACACAGGAGCACGGCATAACACACAGGAGCACGGCAGAACACAGGAGCAGGAGGAGCACGGCAGAGCACGGGCAGAACAAGCAGGAGCGCGGCAGACCACGCAGGAGCATGGCACAACACACAGGTTCACGGCAGAACACCCCAGACACATAGGAGCACGGCAGAACAAGCAGTAGCGCGGCAGAACATACAGGAGCACGGCAGTACACATAGGAGCACGGTAGAACGCATAGGTCCACGGCAGAATTGGCGGCAGAACACGCAGGAGCACGGCAGAACACATAGGAGCACGGCAGAACACGCAAGATCACAATGAACACGGCAGAATACACAGAGTTCATGGGAGCATTGCAGAACACACAGGAGCATGGCAGAACACACAGGAGCGCGGCAGATCACACAAAACACTTAGGAGCACGGCAGAACAAGCAGCAGCACGGCAGAACGCACAGGAGCACGGCAGAACACGCAGGAGCACGGCAGAACATATAAGAGCACGGCAGAGCAGGACCATGTCTGAATACACAGGATCACGGCAGAATGCACTTAGGAGCACGGCAAAAAACGCATGAGCACGGCAGAACGCATGGAACATCTATTCGCACAGCCGCACACACAGGCACACGCACACAGGCACACGCACACAGGTACACGCACACAGGCACACACGCACACGCACGCGCACGCACACGCACACGCACACACAGAGACACGTACACACACGAACAGACACGCACACACAGAGAGAGGCAACATACGTTCAGGGGGAGGTGGGCGCGTCGCACGGGGAGGCTCCTCGGAGGGCGGCTGCTGCCCTCCCCGCACTCCCGAGGTGCCTCCCCTGGGCCCCGCGGTCGGGGCCCCCGGGTCTCGTTCCTCGTCGGGGCACGGCCTCTCCGCAGACCCTCGCGCTGGGACGGGCATCGCCGCGGGAGGCTTCTGGGCCTCCGCAGACCCCCCCCCTCGCGCGGGGACCACCACCGCCACGGGAGGCGTCTCGATACGGGGGCCCTTGCGGGCCTCGTGACCGTCAAAGAGCGGCTCCGGTGACAAGCATCGCGACGGGAGGTTTTCTGTTTTTTTCGGCCTCCGGAGGCCCTTCCTGGGCCGTCGAGCAACGGCTCAGGATGGAAAGCCCGTCCGGGGGAGAGAGTCGAGACGTCTGGGGGGGGGTCGACGGTGTGCAACAGATCGCGACGTCGGGGGTCAGGGTCCGCAGAAGACACCGGTACGTACACCACCGTGTCTGACTTTGGCCGGGCAGGGTGGTGGTGTGCAGATGCCTTCTGCGTGCAGTGGAGACCCATGCCAAGAAACACCCTGCTCGCCTCCAGGGTGCCCTGGGTCTCCTGGGTTTCGATGGTTCTGCTGTGGAAAGCGTGACGTTCCCACACCAAACATCGATGGACGTCTTGGAGTCTCAGGGTTGGGTTTCTTGTGGAAGGCTTCTTGTGGTCGGGCCCCTACTGTACGGTAGGTTCATGCGGCGTTGGCGCGCCAGCGACGCAGGCTAAGGCGCTCAAGGTTGAATTCTGCGACGCTCAAGCACCGATGGACGGCAACGCGTTTGGACGCGATTGAATCCAACCTTGAACGATCGGGGCCGCCATCGGTTCAGGGTGAAACGATCGACGCGGTGTCAAGAACCTATGCGCGCGCCGACGCCGCACGAACCTACCGTAGGCTCCGCCGGGCGGCCGCGTGCTCGAGCCCTGCAGAGGCACTTCGGGAGCCATGGCTGGTGCCCAGAGCCTCTCGCGGGCTCTCGCGGGGGCCCCTTCGCGGGGGCACCGCAGTCGATGTGTGCGGGTGTCCCCGTGGCCAGGGGGGTGATGATTAGGGGGGGATATCATGGCGTGGGCCACGATCTTTCCTCAGGTTTCATGGCGTCTGTCCTTGTTTCATTGCGTCCCTGGCCCCCCCCCCCTCTGGGCCGCGCACATGCCGCCGGCCACGATTTGCGCCCCCCCCCCTCTTGGACGCCCGTCTCTTGGCCGCCACCGAGTAGACGGCAACAAGACGCAGCGACGCTGCCTCGTGCCCACGTGGCATCTTCCGTCGTGCGAATTTGGCTTGCGTTTTTTTTGTTTGTTTGTTTGTTTTTTTCCTCTCTCTCTCTCTGGGGACTTGCTCTCCTCTGCGGGGGCAGGCGTTGGCGCGCTGCGAGGTGCACTGGAGGAGCACAACTGGACGCCGCCAGGGGTTCATGGCGTCACTTCGAGCCCTTCGTTGAAAGATGGTATGTTTGGATCGTGCACACCAATCTTTTGTGAGAGCCTTCCCACTTCCCACTTCAATAATCGCTAGTCTCCCGTTTCGGCCACCCTGAGGCGGGCCGAAGCCAAGTCTGTCTTAACCGCCTTATTGCTTAACGTTTCTACCACCCTCTTCCGAACTTCTTTCAAGATGCTAGTGCTCTTCTTCATCTAACGCAAGGTCTTCCTCCCCAGAACTCCGACGTTGTGTATTTTTCACCTAATGCACCTCTGGTGGTCTGGATCCTTTCCCCCGGACTGGTTTTTCACGGCTCCAGGCGAGTTCTGCAGGTCAAGGACGGCGAACAATTTCCCGTTGTGTTTTTTTTGACGACGCGAGGAGGTCCAGATATCGGGCCATAATTCGAGCTGGCCATAATTCGACCCCACGACGGCCGATTGACCCCCCCAGCTGCTGGAAAGCATCCCCAAATCGAGAGAACCACCCAATAGCCGACGAAACCGTCTGATACTTCCTCCTCCCTCGACCAGCGCCTTCTATACCAACTGACCTCTGGCGAGAGTGCATCTCCTCCTCCTCCTCCTCCTCCTACTCCATCACTTCCTCCTCCTTCTCCTCCACTTCCTCCTCCTTCGCCTCCTCCTCCTCCTCCTCCTCCTCCTCCTCCTCCTCCTTGATGAGCATCGTGTGCTACAGCTCCTAATGCAGCCCGTGCTGCATAACGATCTGGAGGGCTGGCGCCACCAGCCGCCAGCAGCACAGAGCGATGGCCCCGGGGCTCCAGCCCATTGCGCTAGCGCCGCCTGCTCCCAGCAGCCTGCGCCGCGCGGCGACGGAGAGGGAGACGGGGAACACGCCTCCTCCCTACGCCCCTAGGGGCCGTAGTTCTTTGGGCTCACGCAAGCGTTCTTGCTTGGCATTTCGCCGCCTTCTCTTTCCAGCAGCGCTGGGCCGAGCGGGCGTGCAAGTGAGTCCCGACTTGCGTGCAGTGCAGATTCCCTTTCGGCCTCACGACGCCCCCACCTCCCCCCTCCAAGAAAGCGCAGGTGAACTTGCCAGAATCTAGAGACAATCTACTTCCTACGACTCCATGACAACGCCGACAATTCTCACGAGGACGACGACGGCGCCGACTACGACGGCGACTACATGAACGACGATGATGATGACGACGACGACAACGACGACCGCGACGACCACGACGACGACGACGGCGACGACCACGACGACGACGCTGACGCTGACGCTGACGACGACGACGCTGACGACGACGACGGTGACGACGACGACGACGACGACGGCGACGACCACGACGACGACCACGACGACGCCCGGGCCCAGCTACCCCTCCTCCTCCTCCTCCTCCTCCTCCTCCTCTTCCTCTTCCTCTTCCTCTTCCTCCTCCTCCTCCTTCTGCTCCTCCTCCTCTTCCTCCTCCTCCTCCTCCTTCTCCTCCTCCTCGTCCTCCTCCTCCCTCCTTCCTCCTCCTCCTCCTCTCCTCCTCCCTCCTCCTCCTTCCTCTCCTTCCTCCCCCTCCTCCTCCTCCCCCTCCTCTCCTCCTCCTCATCCTCCTCCTCCTCCTCCTCCTCCTCCTCCTCCTCCTCCTCCTCCTCCTCCTCCTCCTCCTCCTCCTCCTCCTCTCCTCCTCCCCTCCTCCCCCTCCTCCCCCTTCTCCTCCTCCTCCTCCTCCTCTCCTCCTCCTCCTCCTCCTTCCTCCTCCTCCTCCTCCTCCTCCTCCTCCTCCTCCTCCTCTCCTCCCGCGCTCCCTCTCCGGCTCGCCCTCCGGCCGCCAGCAGCCTGGAGTTCGGCGGCGACTGCGCCGCCGGCCTGCGGGTGGACCCCGGCGGCCTCCTCGCGGCCGCGCCGCCCGCCAGGGGAGGGGAGGGGAGGGGGGAGCAGCCGGGGCCGCCCCGGGGGCCAGGGGCGGCCAAGTGGGGGGTGAGGACTGCGGTGTGTGCCCCGACCCCTTCGCGTTGTGAAGATGTCACGGCGGGAGGTTTTTCGCCGCTTTCGGCCATCGCGGGCCCTCACCAGGCCTCGGGACCGTCAACAAAACAACTCAGGATGAAAAATCGGTCCTGAGGAAGGGGTCGAGACCTCTGGTGGTCGACGTTGTGAAAAAATCACGCCGTCGGGGGTCTGTGTGTGTGAATGTCACTCGGCACGCGAGTCTGAACGGATCCCGCGCCTTCGCCTTCCCCGCGTCCCCCTCCGCCTGTGCCTCAATCAGTTCCTGGCGTGTCCCGCCCGTCCGTGCCCTGGCCAGCGCTGGCACCGGCTTCGACCCGCTTGCGCCCGCCGACTCAAACAAGTGTGCTGTTACCATGGCGGGGGCCCAAGGCACTTGCGCGGACTAGGAGGAGGAGGAGGAGGAGGAGGAGGAGGAGGAGGAGGAGGAGGAGGGGAGGAGGAGGAGGGAGGAGGAGGAGGAGGAGGAGGAGGAGGAGGAGGAGGAGGAGGGAGGAGGAGGGAGGAGGAGGAGGAGGAGGAGGAGGAGGAGGAGAGGAGGAGGAGGAGGAGGAGGAGGAGGAGGAGGGGGAGGAGGGGGAGGAAGAGAAGGAGGAGCTGAAGAGGAGGAGGAGGAGGAGGAGGAGGAGGAGGAGGAGGAGGAGGAGGAGGAGGAGGAGGAGGAGGAGGAGGATGTCTCCCAGATCTCATGGCTCCCTTTTTTTCAGTACGTTCCCTGGTCCCGCCTCGTCCGCGCACATGTCTCAGGCCATGATTTGCGAACCCCTCCTCTTGGACGACCTCCTCTTGGACGCCTCCGAGAGGGGATACGTAGGGGTACTCAGAGCCCCTCGCGTGGGGACAAGACTCACGGAAGTTTAGGTGTTTTTTGTCGAGCTGTTTTCGGCCTTTTGGGGCTCTTACTTGGCCTCGGCCGGCAACACAAGGACTCAGGATGAAAAACCGGTCCTTGGGACCGGCTCATCCCTCCTGGGGGCCACGTCATGAAGAAATCGCACCGTCGTTGGCCTGTGTTTATTCCTCAATTCCTGCATTTCCTCCCTCCAGATCCTCCCTCTGTCCTCTGCTCCACTGTTATCCTCTTTTCCCCTTATCATCATATTTGTTTGGCTGTTGTTGTTGTTGTTGTTATTGTTGTTGTTGTTGCTGTTGCTGTTGCTGTTGCTGTTGCTGTTGTTGTTGTTGCTGTTGTTGGTGTTACAGTTGTTATTGTGGTGGTTGTGGTTGTGGTTGTGGCTGTGGCTGTGGCTGTTGTTGTTGTTGTTGTTGTTGTTGTTGTTGTTGTTGTTGTTGTTGTTGTTGTGGTTGTTGTGGTTGTTGTTTTTGTGGTTGTTGTTGCAGTTGCAGTTGCTGTTGCTGTTGCTGTTGCTGTTGCTGTCGCTGTTTCTGTTTCTGTTGCTGTTGCTGCTGTTGTTGTTGTTGTTGTTGTTGTTGTTGTTGTTGTTGTTGTTGTTGTTGTTGTTGTTGTTGTTGTTGTTGTCGTCGAAGAACTCTGTTATTGTTGTTGTTGTTGTCGATGAATAATTTTCATGGCTGAAAAATAATTGTTGATCCCCGCCTCCAGTGACCATTGTGTCTTTTTAATTGAAGTGCATCCCCCGGGGCTCGCACCTTGTTTTTTATCAGGGAAAGTCACGGGGCTCAAACTGAGCCCCTGGCCCCCGGTTCACAACAACAACGGCTCCCGCCTGATATTTCCTCACAATTTATTCCCAAATCGCGCTCTCGCGCGGGACCTCCTCACAATTCATGTACGCATCGCGCTCTCGCATTGGACTTCCTCGCAATTTATTCAGACGATGCTTTGGCTCTTCTCACGATTTACTTGGGAATGGCGCTATCGCCAGAGACTTCCTCGCGATTTATGCAGGACCCGCGCTGCAGCAACCCGCCTGCTCGACCTGGTCGCCTGGGCCCGCCTTTCCGACCTGCCCGCTATGCCCCGATCTGCCCGTCTTCTTCTACCCATCTGCCCACCCGGTCTGCCCACCCGTCTGGGTCTGCCCAACCGATCTGCCTGTCTGGTTCTACCACTTGTATACTGCTCCTTGCCCCCCTCCTGCTAATTTCTCTCGTACTCCATATTTCTCCCTCCCCCTTTCACCCGTCCTCTCTTCCCTTGTTTTAGGGGCTGCACTGCATGCACGTGGCAGGTAAGGAAGATATACCCCCAAGGGGGTTCGATCGAAGACGACGAGGGCGGGTACCGAGGTTTTGTGATATACGTATTGATTGGCACGTGGTCAGATGGAGCGAACAGTCTTAAAGAGCATTGTTCTTGTTATTGTGGTGGTTGTGGTCGTCGTCGTCGCCGTCGTTGTGTGTGTTTTGCTGCTGTTGTTGTTGTTGTTGCTGCTGCTGTTGTTGTTGTTGTTGTTGTTGTTGTTGTTGTTGTTGTTGTTGTTGTTGAACATTATTACTTCTAAAGAATAATTATTGTTGGGACCCCTGGTGCATGGCCCCCCCGCCGCGCCTAGGCCGCAGCCACATTTTCATCATTTTCGTGAGGAAGTCTCAGGCAAAACGGGTGGTCCGGATCCGGTTGTTTTGTTACGATCCGTTTTCCCTTGCAAAAAATAGCTAAAATGGACATTTCTTGTTCTAACATAACCAAACTTCAAGAATCCCTTGCAAAAAATAAGGTAAAGTGGACATTCGCGCGCGCAAGACGAAATCCTTCCAAAACCTTAGTTTTCGTAGCGATTTTAACATAAAAACATCAAAAAACCAATGGTTTTTCAAAAAAAATTGTCAAAATTCTCATCCCGCGCGCTCTTGCGGATTCGTAGGAAACCCAACACTTTTTAAACATTTCTGTCAAACGGGCTTTTGCGAGCAACTTTTTCGAACTTCTGCAACAACGGTTGCGCACCTGCCAGGGCCATCATCCCTGTCAAATAATACCATGCGGGACACATTCGTTTTTTCTTCGCGCGCGCACGCCGTCGTCGTCGGCCGCGGGGCCCTGAATAGTAGCCACGGTCGTCCGCATGCCACGAAGTGAAGTGTCCGAACGTCATAGGGCGGGAAGCTGGGTGTGGGTGGTGGCGAAGAGTCGTTTGGAAATTTGGTAGAGCTTGAACCGGCCCCCCCACAAAGTGGGGGTATTGCCCGCCTCCTATGAAAACCCTGGCACTGGTGAGAACGGAGTGTCCCCACGTGCTAGTAATTGTTGTTGTTGTTGTTGTTGTTGTTGTTGTTGTTGTTGTTGTTGTTGTTGCTATTATTGCTGTTGTTGTCGTTGTTGTCGTTGTTGTTGTTGTCTTCGTTGTGGTTGTAGCTGTAATTGCTGCTGTTGTTTGTTTATGATGCTATTGTGGTTGCTGTTGTGATGGTGGCTGTTGTTGTTGTTGTTGTTGTTGTTGTTGATGTTGTTGATGTTGCGGTGGTTGTTGTGGTGGTTGGTCTTGTGGTGGTTGTTATTATTATGGTTGTTGTTGTTGCTGTTGCTGTTGTCGTTGTTGTTGTCGTTGTTGATGTTGTTGTTGTTGATGTTGTTGTGGTTGTTGTTGCTTTTCTTTTTCGTATGGTTGTTGTTGTTGCTGTTGTTGTTGTGGTTGTTGTTGTTGTTGTGGTGGTGGTTGTTGTTGCTGTTGTTGTTGTCGTTGTTGTTGTTGTTGTTGTTGTTGTTGTTGTTGTTGTTGTTGTTGTTTTTGTTGATGTTATTGGTGCTGTTGCTGCTGCTGCTGCTGTTATTGTTGTTGCTGCTGGTATTGTCTTTTTTGTTTTTACGTTGAGCGTTTCTGGAGTTTCTGGTCGCCATGGCTAGGCGCAGCTCGAAAAACTGCCAGGACGGACACCAGGAGGGGTCCAGGGTTCAGTTCTGAGCGGATCATGTTGGAGAAACAGGTGCAGAATAGAAGTTTCGGATGTTCTGTGGGAGCGTTTCTGATATTTTCTGCGTTCCGTTTATGTTTGCGTTCGTTGTCTAGCATTTCTACTGGTTCTCGTCGCCGCGGTTGGACGCTGCTAGGATGGAGCGCGGGGGGGGTCCCAGGATGTATTCTGAGCGGATGACGGTAGAAAGACAGGGGCTTTTCGGGAAAAGGTGTCCCGAGTTTTTTTTTTTTTTTTTTTGTTGTTGTTTTTATTCTCCTCGGTCTCGGGCCCCTTGCAGTGCTCTCATGAGGCCGTCGAAAGACGGCCGTCGAGAGATGGCAGAGCCCTGGAGTCCAGGACCCACTGTTTCCTCAAGACCCCTCTCCCTCGTGCCAACGGGGAGCCGTGCTCAGCGAGACCACAGGCCATGCCAGGGTGTCCTTCCGAAGGTCCGCGCAGGTTTCTGTGATCGGCGCTGAGCCCGCTCCTCTCGCCCCGTCTCCGGCGCGCAGGGGCGGCGCCGGGGGCGGGGCCGGGGGCGCCGTTAGGGGTGGTGGGCAGGGGGTGGGGGTAGCGCCGACCCACGGAAGCCGCGCGGCCCTTCAACTGTTTAGGTGTACGCTGTGTTGGTCATTGGGTGTTCTGACAGAGAGGTGTGTCGCTCGAGCCTTTCGATCACAAAGCGTGCGCGCGGACGTGCCTGTGTGTAAGCGTGTCGTCTGTCTGAACCCCCATCGGCAGACGCTCTCAGGTGATTATTCCTGCGCAGGCGCATCCCGTTTTTTGTCATCGCTGCCTTGGATCAGCTGCCCGCGACGTAAAGCGACAAGTATGTGTGTTTGCTTGTACCCCTAGTGCTCCTGGCTACCAGAGCTGGCACGCAGACTCCCTGTCCCTGTGCTAGTGCTCCTGGATCCGCTGACTGCATCCATCATCGCGCTTGAGGAGCAACTGTCTGCGTGTACCCGTCGCGCACACGAAACGCAGTGGGGCGCCGGGGCTCGGGTCCGTCGAGACCAGGCTAGGAACAGGTGGCGCCGGCGCCCAGGATCATAGAGAAGGTAGTGTAGACGAAGAAGGTCTTGAAAGGGGCTGGGGCGTCTTGGTGGTCGGTCGCACAGTCGGAACACTGGGGCTTTCTCGGAGGGAAGGTGGAGGCTTTCCAGGGAACGGTCTGTCGCTCGGTCGGAATGATTTGGGAGGGCTGTCCCTCAACGCTGCTAATGGAATGCACCGCTACTTCTCTTGTACCACTAATGGTCCACACATCTAATGGTTTTGACACCGATGGACCCACTAATGATCTTCGAATGGCTCGCCTCTCATCTTTCTGTCGCGCTGTCGCGATTGCAGAGATCATGAGTGCCAAAAGGTTTTCATTAGCGTGCCATCAGCGAGGTCCGAAGGCACTGTGAGGCAGAGCCCTTCAGGAGAATGCTGGGGCCAGGGGGGAGGTGCTCTTGGGGGCGGGGCGGGTGGGTGGCGCTTTCCAGGGCACGGTTGGCTGCAGGGTTGGAGTAGTGGTCCTGGAGTGCCACACTGGCAGGTCTGATGATGATGATGGTGCTCCGGCCCTGGAGTGGGCATCCTGTTTCGCCGGCTCCCAGCATCGTGTGGCAACCTGCGTCCTGAAGAGAGCATGCGTACCCGTCGGTCGTCCAAAGTAGGTTTTTTTCGGACTACCAGATCCCCACACAAGGCTCAAGTATCCGGCCCGAGCTCTGCCCCATGTAGCTCGGCGCGCGCACATCCAGGCGGGAGGCTTTCCCCGAACCAGCCCGCTCCAGACAGCATGGTCCGCTTGGCAGTGCTCCAGGCCATCTTGGCGGTCGCAACCTGCGCGGCGGACGCCGACGCCTCGGCGGCGACCTGCGAGACGGAGGAAGGCAGAGGTAAAAGGCTTGTGCCCTGGCATCAACACGGGCCTGACCTACATCACGACCGCGACGGAGTGCACGAATGCCGGCGCCCCAGCGTGCTGCTTCGAGAACTCCATTTGCCGGTACTGCGGCGCCGACTGCACCCTCGCCAACGTGCCGTGCAGCGCGGCAGCTCTGCCGCAGAAGGCCGCCCGCGCCGCGGCCAAGGCGGGGGGCCAGTGCCCTGGCATCAACACGGGCCTGACCCACATCACGACCGCGACCGCGACCGAATGCACGAAGGCCGGCGCCCCAGCGTGCTGCTTCGAGAACCCCTCTCGCCGGTACTGCGGTGCCGACTGCACCCTCGTCGACGTGCCGTGCAGCGCGGCAGCCCTGCCGCAGAAGGCCGCCCGCGCCGCGTTTAAGGTGAAGGACCAGAGCCTTGGAATCAACGCGGGTCTGACCTACATCACGACCGCGACCGAGTGCGCGGAGGCCGGCGCCCCAGCGTGCTGCTTCGAGAACCCCACTTGCCGGTACTGCGGCGCCGACTGCACCCTCGCTGACGCGCCGTGTAGCGTGGCAGCCCTGCCGCAGATGGCCGCGCTCGCCGCGGCCAAGGTGGGGGGCCAGTGCCCTGGCATCAACACGGGCCTGACCTACACCGCGACCGCGACCGAATGCACGAAAGCCAGCGCCCCAGCGTGCTGCTTCGGGAACCCCACTTGCCGGTACTGCGGTGCCGACTGCGCCCACGCCGACTCGTTGTGCGGCGCCGCGGCCTTGCTGCAGAAGGCCGCCCGCGCCGCGGCCAAGGTGGGGGGCCAGTGGCCCGGCATCAAGGCGGGCCGGACCTACATCGCGACAGCGACCGAGTGCGCGAAGGCCGACGTCCAAGCGTGCTGCTTCGAGAACACCACTTGCCGGTGCTGCGGTGCCGACTGCACCTTCGCCGACGCGCCGTGCAGCGCGGCGGCCGTGCCGCAGAAGGCCGCCCGCGCTGCGACCAAGGTGGAGTGCCAGTGCCCTGGCGTCAACGCGGACCTGACCCACGTCGCGACCGCGACCGATTGCGCAAAGGCTTGCGCCCCAGCGTGCTGCTTCGAGAGCACCGCTTGTCAGTGCTGCGGCGCCGACTGCGCCCTTGGCGACGTGTCGTGCAGCGCGGCGGTCCTGCCGCAGACGGCCGCCCACTTCGCGGCCGGTCAACCTTTTACTATTTCCCAACCCTCCTTGTGTTGGGTACTCGTTTTGAATAGAGCACTGTGGTATCCACCTCCCGCCCTCTCCTCCTCCTTCTCTCCTGTGTTCGCGGTGCCCTGCGGGGCTGCGATCTGCGCAACTGTCGCCGCTTCGTGGGTTCCTGGGAGGCCCAGCGGATGTGCGTCCTGCGCAGATCACTCTGAGGCCTCCCTGTCCCCTGCGGGGCTGCGATCTGCGCGACAGTCGCCACTTTCGTGGGTTCCTGGGAGGCCCAGCGGAGGTGCGTCCTACGCAGATCACTTTGAGGCCTCCCTGTCCCCTGCGGGGCTGCGATCTGCGCAACAGTCGCCACTCTCGTGGGTTCCTGGGAGGCCCAGCGGAGGTACGTCCTACGCAGATCACTTTGAGGCCTCCCTGTCCCCTGCGGGGCTGCGATCTGCGCAACTGTCGCCACTTTCGTGGGTTCCTGGGAGGCCCAGCGGAGGTGCGTCCTACGCAGATCATTTTGAGGCCTCCCTGTCCCCTGCGGGGCTGCGATCTGCGCAACAGTCGCCACTTTCGTTGGTTCCTGGGAGGCCCAGCGGAGGTACGTCCTACGCGGGTCACTTTGAGGCCTCCCTGTCCCCTGCGGGGCTGCGATCTGCGCAACAGTCGCCACTTTCGTGGATTCCTGGGAGGCCCAGCGGAGGTACGTCCTACGCAGATCACTTTGAGGCCTCCCTGTCCTCTGCGGGGCTGCGATCTGCGCAACTGTCGCCACTTTCGTGGGTTCCTGGGAGGCCCAACGGAGTTGTGTCTTACGCAGACCACTTTGAGGCTCCCCTGTCCCCTGCGGGGCTGCGATCTGCGCAACAGTCGCGACTTTCGTGGGTTCCTGGGAGGCCCAGCGGAGGTGCGTCTTACGCAGACCACTTTGAGGCCTCCCTGTCCCTTTGGCGCACCTGGCGCGCACCTGGCGCACCTGGCGCGCACCTGGCGCACCTGGCGCGCACCGGGCGCGCTGGGCGCACCTGACGCACCTGACGCGCTGGGCGCACCTGGCGCGCCCCTGGCACACCTGACGCACCTGGCGCACCTGGCGCACCTGGCGCACCTGGCCACCTGGCGCACCTGGCGCACGTGGCGCGCACCTGGCGCGCACCTGGCGCGCACCTGGCGCGCACCCGGCGCGCACCTGGCGCGCTGGGCGCACCTGGCGCACCTGGCGCGCTGGGCGCACTTGGCGCGCACCTGGCGCACCTGGCGCGCTGGGCGCACCTGGCGCACCTGCCGCACCTCGCGCACTTGGCGCACCTGGCGCACACCTGGCGCACACCTGGCGCACCTGGTGCATCTGGCGCACCTGGCGCACCTGGCGCGCTGGGCGCACTTGGCGCACCGGCCACACCTAGCGCAGACCTGGCGCACCTGGCGCGCCTGTCGCACCTGGTGCACCTGGCGCACCTGGCGCACCTGTCGCACCTGGCGCACATGGCGCACCTGGCTCACTTGGCGCGCCTGGCGCAACTGGCGCACACCTGGCGCACCTGGCGCAACTGGCGCACCTGGCGCGCACCTGGCGCGCACCTGGCGCACACGTGGCGCACACCTGGCGCAACTGGCGCACCTGGCGCGCGCCTGGCGCGCACCTGGCGCGCACCTGGCGCGCACCTGGCGCGCACCTGACGCGCTGGGCGCACCTGGCGCACCTGGCGCACTGGGCGCACCTGGCGCGCACCTGGTGCACCTGGCGCGCTGGGCGCACCTGACGCACCTGGCACAGCTGGTTCACCTGGCGCGCCTGGCGCGCATGGCGCAACTGGTGCGCCTGGCGCAACTGACGCACCTGGCGCACCAGGCGCGCCTGGCGCGCACCTGGCGCATACTTGGCGCACCTGGCGCACCTTGCGCATCTGGCGCACCTGGCGCACCTGGCACACCTGGTGCACGTGGCGCACCTGGCGCACCTGGCGCGCTAGGCGCACCTGGCGCACACCTGGCGCACACCTGGCGCACCTGGCTCACTTGGCGCGCCTGGCGCACCTGGCGCACCTGGCGCGCCTGGCGCGCCTGGCGCACGTGGCGCACCTGGCGCACCTGGCGCGCCTGGCGCCACTGGCGCACCTGGCGCACCTGGCGCACCTGGCGCGCAGCTGGCGCACCTGGCGTACCTGGCGCAGCTGGCGCACCTGGCACACCAGGCGCGCTGGGCGCACCAGGCGCACCTGGCACACCTGGCGCACACCTGGCGCACACCTGGCGCGCACTTGGCGCATCTCGCGCGCCAGGCGCATCTGGCGCACCTGGCGCGCCTGGCGCGCCTGGCGCACCTGGCGCACGTGGCGCACGTGGCGCACCTGGCGCACCTGGCGCACCTGGCGCACCTGGCGCACCTGGCGCGCCTGGCTCGCTTGGCTCACCTGGCGCGCATGGACTTCTGGGAGGCTCAGCGGAGGTACGTCTCCTACGCAGATCACCACTATACCATGGTGCCGACATGTCCTTCGGTATTGAGTAGTCCTGAATGCAATTGCCACTTGTGTAGAAAGGGTTGGGTACGTCGCAGGAGAAGTTTTTTCCTTGTAGGTGACAGGTATCGCGCGCCGCAGTTTTGTAGTTCGTGTCGTGCTATTCTGGCTGCCATGGTAGTCGAAGTAAGCATTGCGCAGTCCTTGCGGTCGGTGGCCCTGGCCCTGAAGGGAGACGATGACGTCGATCATGCGGAGGAGCGTGAAGGGTAATCAGGAATATGCTTGTCAACGTTCGGGGCCCGCCCGGGGGGCGCGTGTCCATACGTATCCCTTGTGAACGTTCGGCGACGATGCTGCAAGTTCTTGACCGACAGGCATGATTCCACCTAACATGCTTTGCTGCCACTTGTGCTGTGTCAGCCTGGAATGTTGCACCCCCCCCTCGCGGCTCTGCGCGCAGGCCGCAAGGGAGCCAGAACTTGTCGTGGATGATGTAGACCGGTATGAGGCCGATCACGGTGGAGATTGGCTACCAGCTGTCATCCGAAGCATCTTGGACGACGGAAATGTCACGGTGGGTCCGCGGGCTTTCCATCTTGTGGTTGGTTTGTTACTTTGTTTGTTTATTTGGGGTGCTGTTTGTTTTGCTCTCATGCGAGATACTTATGATGACCAGTCTATGATGCGCAAGTCTGCTGTAGGTCTGCGCCGCGTCGAGTCGGTGGCGATCCCAGTGAGGGCGTTCGAGGTTGAGCGCCGCCATCGGACCCGAACCTGCCGATGGGGAACGATTTGTGATATCGGAGAGTCGCGCTCGTTGAGGGCTGAGCCATCCACGTGGTGGCGGAAACAAACGCCGACCTCACGACACGAATCTCCCGAAAGGAGCATCATGTCCTGAAGACAGGGGCACGGCGGCGGATTGCAAGATGCATGATGTAGAATTTGCATCTTTCGTGTTTTGTTGTGTTCTCTGGAAATGCAGATGTTGCCTTCCCCCGACATAGGGTTCATGAATCAACGAGAGTGCTCTTCGGGACGTAGCTAGAACACTGTGCCTACTTTAGCAAGTGCCTGTGCACTACGTATTCACCAGAGCATTCAAGCATGTGTCGAAAGAGCGTTGCGTCTTTCGTTCGTTGCATCGTCGTAGTGCTGTACGGCCTTGCTTCTGCTTCACCGAAGCGGTGTCTGCCTGTCAGTTCTTTCCACCCAATTCCGCCCAGTCTTTATGTACATCCAGCAGCACAACATGATGCAAACCAATCGAGCCGAAGCATGATAATTCATGTTTACCTGTTGTCAGGCACATGTGCATAGGATTCAGGTACCCTCTGGTTCGTCGTCCTACTGATTGCGCACGTCCGCACATGATTTGCAGCTCTTTTGATTGCATTGTCTTCCCTGTGCACGGGCACATACATTTTCAATTCCTGTGCTGATTTGGTTGCCAGCAAAGTCACATGCAGTCTTCATGTGGCAGCGTTTAGGTGGAGCTGTATGCCCCTGGCAGCTTCTGGAGTGAGATGCTCAATCGCAGTGGACCCTTCACAGTACCAGCCTCGAGCATTCGGCTGCAGCCTCAGATCGATGTGACAACACGACGCGGAGTCTCTTGCTTCATTGATCATGCAAGTTCTGGTGGGGGTCAGCGCTCGTGGTAGCCCTGCAGTTGTCAGTCGTCGTCGCTATCGCTGTGGATCCCTCCATCCCGGTGCATGTCTCTTCCACTCATGGTCGCATACCTCGGCTTCTCGACTTCATTCATCCTGCCTATTGCCTCAGTGTGGCTCACTTCTCCTTTTGGCCTCCAGCACGCGCGTGATTTTCTGACGCTTGGCGCGCACCTTTCACTAGTGCGCGCGGCAGGGCGGGCGGCCCCGATCCACACACACCGCGCTCCCTGGCTCCGGCACTCTGCCTCGCACCTTCGCCGTCGCCTGCGCGCGCTTCGTTTACTCCACCTGCGACAGGTTCGTGTCGTGTCGACGCGGCGGCGACCCCGGCGCGGGCGTTCAGGGTAGAACCGCCGCCAGCGGTCGGGAATTGCTTTGTTTCGCACGGTCTGCGCTGTCTGTTGGGCCCGGACGATCCACGCGGTGTCAGACGCTGAAGCCCACGTCGTCACGGCACGAACCTGCCGTATCTTTGTGGAATCCATCGACGTGGCACCGAAACGGCCCTAAGAGATCCCCAAGGTGGCCAAGACAGAAAATGACGGTTACGGGTAGCGTCAAGATGGCCCCAAAGGCCCCCGACACGGTCCAAAGAGGCCTTGAGAGGACCCCGAGGACGTACGCACCCAGGAGGCCGAAATAGTTGAAAAACATGTTGATGTCGAAAGTACTTGGTGTGATCGCCTGTTCGGGTTTTGCAGCCTCCAAGATTCCAGGATCGCCACAAGACGTCACAGAAACAGCCCAGTGGAGGCCCAATGCAGCCCAAGAGGGGAAGAATACCCCAAGAGGGCCCCAAGAGAGTCCAGCTCGGGGGGACCAACATGGGTTCAGGCCAAAGCAGGCCTTCCGAAGGAGCCCAACACGGCCCACGGAAGCTTCAAGGAGCCCTAAACAATCCCGCAAAAGAGGGAGGAGGAGGAGGAGAAGGAGGTGGAGGAAGAGGAGGAGGAGATGCTGTCGTCCCTTCATCCTTGCTCCCCCGCCACCGTTTCTTATCCGTCTCGTCATACAGGCTCAGCATTCGTGGGACATAGATCGGCGGTGCGCTGGGGGGCGAAGTGAGAGGGGGCAGGCCTTCTCAGAAGGCAGCAGGACTTTGGAGAGCGCTCAGGAAGCTGTTCAGAAGGACTGAGGCCTTGCGAGCCTTTCGAGACAGCCCCTGGGCGCTCCGCGGAGTAGAAGGGAGCACGCCAGTTAGAATGTGGCTGGGTTCAGTCCGAGCGGCCCCCAAGGTCCCGCCTGCTCCCCTGCCTCGCCCCCGAACTCGCCGCCTCTCACCCGCCCTCCTCTGCCCTCTCCCTATACCTCTATCTTCCTGTCCCTTCGCTTCCGCATTTCTGTCTCCTCTCCCCTTTCGCTGTCGAGTGAAAACAGTTGCATAAACATGCGCTTTCGGAAGTCCGCGCAACTCTCTTGGGTCGGCCGTGGGCCCTCCTGGCGGCGTCTCCGGCGCCGCCCCTGGCGCGCTCCGCGCGCCAGGAGAGGAGTCCAGCCCAGCGCCAGTCCAAGGAATCCGCGCGGACTTCGACAGTGTCTGTTTTGGTTTCGGATTTCGGACTGTTTTTTGTTCCTTCCTTTGACCGTCTCCCTTCGTTGGGTGTTAAACCATGGGCTTCTTGTCGAGCGGAACCATCGAGAGTTCCTGCCGAAGGCTGGCGGAAGCGCCGCCGAAGTCCGCCAGAAGACCGCTAGAAGACCGTCGAAAACACCGCCACAGACCCCCCAGGGCCGATGAGCAACAATGGGTCCATGGCCGAATACATCGCCTTCGATCCTCCCCCTCCCTTTCTCCCTCATTTTTTTCGCCCTCGTCGAAGAAGAAGACACGCCATAAACATAAACTTTTGGCGCTCCGCACAGATTTCTTGGATCCGCGTTGCGGCCCCCCTGGCGGCGCCTCCGGCGCCGCCCCTCGCGCGCTCCGCGCGCCAGTGGAGGGGGGTCCAGCGCAGATCCGACAAATATGCGCGGGCCTCCAAACGTTTGTGCTTATGCCGTTTTGACAACAGCATAGACATAAACGCTTGGCTGCCCGCGGGGAAGCAGAAGGGGGAGGCGGGGAAGTGGAAGCAGAAGAATAGCGGTTTTCTTCTTCTTCTTCTTCTCTTTCCCTGCCTTCGATCCGCACTGTGTTAGAGAGCCGCCCCCTGCCCGCTCTTCCCCGCCTCTCCTCTCTTCCACCCGCACACGATGTAGCCAAATAATCGGTGGGCGTGCCGCTGCTCCCGCAAAGCGGAGAGGAAAGACCGGCACCGTCTCTCTTCGCCCGCGCGCTCCGGCGCATGGCTTGACTGACCTGACCGACCTGACCCCCTTCGATCCTCTCCTCGGCGACGCCGCGAGCCGCGAGCCGCTCCGGGCCTGGCCTTGCTGCCTCTCGCGCCGGCCCAGCGCATGGCTTGACTGACCTGACTGGCCGAGATCCCCTTCGATCCTCTCCTCGGCGGCGCCGCGAGCCGCGAGGCGCTCCCGGCCGGGCCTCGCTGCCTCTCGCGCCGGTTAGGGGCTGCCGCCCCCCCTGGCGGGGGCCCCGCTCGCCCGGCCGAGGCCCCGGCAGTGGGAGGTGTACCGGGGCGAGGTGCTGCGCATCCCCGACCACGAGGTGCGTGCCGGCTCCCGGAGATACAGCGAGAGAAACAGTCAAGACGGAGGTTTTTCGCCGTTTTCGGCCTCTGGAGGCCCTCGCCGGGCCTTGGGACCGTCAAAAACGACTCAGAATCAAGACGGAAGTTTTTCGCCGTTTTCGGCCTCCAGAGGCCCTCGCCGGGCCTTGGGACCGTCAGAAAACGGCCCAGGATGAAAAACCGGTCCTGGGGAATGGGTCGAGACTTCCGGGGACCCCGTATTGAACAAAATCATTGCATCGGATCTCAGGGTTTGTATCCGTATCCACTGCGTCTGGGACTTTCTGGGAGGGGGCGCCAGCATGCCGCGGCGCAGTGGATCCAGATGAACGTATGACTTTTGGGGGCGATGTCCACGGTGCCTCTGGTATCGGAGGAAGGGGGCTCGAAATTCCAAGACGCATTGGATGTGTATTAAGATCTTGCCCGCGTTGATGAAAAGGAACCGCCATAAACAGCTGCTTTCGGAGGTCCGTGCGGACTTCTTGGAGCGGCGCTGGGCCTCCCTTGACGGCGCCTCCAGCGCCGCCCCTTGACGCGCTCCACGCGCCATGGAGGGGGGGACAGCGCTGGTCCAAGAAATCCGCGCGGACCTCTGAAAGTCTGTGTTTATGGCCTCTGTTGCTTCTCGGAGCTCCTCCCACCTTCAAATCTGGGCGACGCAGTAAAAATCCCGACGTCAATTTTTTTGCGTTTCTTGGGTCGCAGGGGCCGCATCCTGGCAGCGGGGTCGTCAACAAAACACCACTCACGATGTAAGTCGAGCCCCGGGGAAGCGAAGTGGCTGGAGCTCCGAAACCGATGTCACGAAACGTTGCTCGGCGGCAAGATCCAAACCCTACTCGCCAGTCAACGATCCAGGCGATTCGATGGGCGGCGGGGGCATGTTTCGGAATTCGTCGAGCACGCGGCGGAATCCGAACCCTACCCTTGCCTCCCATGGGTTCAGGGGAATCGATGGTTGGTGGTGGTAGGGTTCGGGTGTCGCCGCCTCAAGCTGCAACGTCCGAGTAGGGGGCACGCGACCCAGGATCTGCTTCCCTCTCCAGCCTTCGCTCCGCTTCCTTCCGCCCCCTCACCTGGCCCCTCGGTCTGCCAGAGCGCCGCAATCTCCTCCGTCGATATGGGGGAGCCCGGCCACCGCGCGCGGGGGGCGCAGGCGGGTGGCCCCACGCAGCCCCGCTGCGCCGCCCTTTTGTTGGGAGGCCACTGCATGCTCTTTGGAGAGGGGGGGGGGCCGCGTCAGAACAGACTGGCAGCCCCAGTCCCTCCAGTCGAAGACCTTCGTGCTGTGGGTGCTTTCCTCCTCTCCCGCCCCCCGCGGCCGCGCCGCGCCTGGGGCCCCCCCCTCCTCGCCGCTGGACAGCCAGTGCTTGTCACAGACGGGCTCACTGGAGCGCGCGTGCGGATCGCATCGGCCGCGCTGCGACGCAACAAGCTCCCTGGGGGGACACGGGGCATCGTTTGGCGTGCGCATGGCGTGGCGTGCAAGTGGTCCCAATCTGCACGCTGTTCTTGTTATTGTTGTTGTTGCTGTTTTTTTGTTGTTGTTTGTTGTTGTTGTTGTTGTTGTTGTTTGTTGTTGTTGTTGTTGTTGTTGTTGTTGTTGTTGTTGTTGTTGTTGTTGTTGTTGTTGTGCTCTCACTACGGAATAATGATTATTGTTGATCCTCTTCTCCGGTGACCACGGCGTTTTTTCAATTGCAGTGCTTCCCCGGGGCTCGCACCATGCTTTGTATCAGGGAAAGTCACGGGGCTCAAACTGGGCTATTGGCCACCGGAATACAACATCAACGGCTCCCGCTTTAGATTTCCTCACAATTTAGCCAGGACCCCTGCTCCCGCCTGAGACTTCATCGCGTTTTACTCAGGAATCGCGCTCTCGCTTGGGACTTCATACGATATATTCAGGAATCGCTCTCTCGGCGCTCGCGCTCTCGCTGGGGACTTGCTTGCAATTTGCTCAAGAATCGCGCCCTTGCTTTGGAATTCACCGCAATTTACCCAAGCGCCGCGTTTTCGACACTCAGGCACCCAGGAGTGGCGCTCATGCTTAGGATTTTCTCACAGCTTATTTAGGAATTGGGATCTCGCTGCCCTTCGTGGCCTCGTTGCAGCCCTTCGTTGCCCCCTCGCTGCCCTTCGTGGACCCGTCGCAGCCCTTCGTGGCCCCTTCGCTGCCCTTCGTGGCCCCGTTGCAGCCCTTGGTGGCTTCCTCGCTGCTCTTCGTGGCCCCTTTGCAGCCCTTGGTGGCCCCTCGCTGCTTTTCGTGGGTTGGCTCATGTAGGAGGCCTGGAGGTTGACACCAGCACCAATATCGGCGGTGTGCCTCCACCGAGGGAGGAAGATCCCGACCTTGATGATGGTGGTCGTATTCTGGCTTCCAAGGTGACCGAAATATTACCACCAACACCAAAATCTAGGATCATCTTCCTTCGCTCGAGGCAACACCCTGTGTTGGTGTTGCTGTCCACTTCCAAGCCTCCACGAATTCTGAATTTATCCTCGCCTCAATTTATCCCCGCCCTGGCCTCGTCTTGAGGCGGAGCAGGAGCAGGAGGAGGAGGAGGAGGAGGAGGAGGAGGAGGAGGAGGAGGAGGAGGAGCAGGAGCAGGAGGAGGCGGAGCAGGAGCAGGAGGAGGAGGAGGAGGAGGAGGAGGAGGAGGAGGAGGAGGAGGAGGAGGAGGAGGAGGAGGAGTCCTGTGCTGTCCTGGTGCTGGAGGGATCGGGGGCCCCAGGGGGGAGCCCTCGCGGCCCGCGCGCCGCGTGCCCCGCCGACCTCTCGCCTGGCCTCTCTCGGCTGCCGCCGACCCGCCTCTCGCTGCCGAGCTCGCCCCGGCTCGGCCCGCTCCGGTTTCGACGGCCGGCGACCCGCTGCGGCCCTTCGTGGCCCCCCTCGCTGCCCCTCGTGGCCCCGCTGCGGCCCTTCGTGGCCCCCTCGCTGCCCCTCGCGGCCCCGCTGCGGCCCTTCGTGGCCCCCTCGCTGCCCCTCGCGGCCCCGCTGCGGCCCTTCGTGGCCCCCTCGCTGCCCCTCGCGGCCCCGCTGCGGCCCTTCGTGGCCCCCTCGCTGCCCTTCGTGGCCCCGTTGCAGCCCTTGTGGCCCCCTCGCTGCCCCGGCTCGGTCTGCTCCGGTTTCGATGGTCCGGCGACCCGACGCGGCCCGGCCACAGAGATTTGACGACGCTTCGACAAAATCTGAGCGCCCGTTTTTTGGCCGTCTTCGGCCTCCCGAAAACCGACCCGAGGGAAGTGGTCCAGACCTCCGCGGCCCGCGCATCCAAAAAATTCGAGCGCCCAGATGTCTGGGGTGCCTGCGCAGCGTTCGGGGGTGGCCAAAAGGGGGGCGATGACTGGGGGGGGATATCATGGCCGCGGCCATGATGTCTCCCCAGATTTCATGGCCCCCTCTTCTTCTTTCGGCGCATCTCTTGGTCTCCCCCCTCGTCCGTGTACGTGCCTCGGGCCGTGCTTTGCGGGCCCCCCTCTTGCACGCAGCCCTCATGGGCGCCCCTGGAGCGCAGTCGCGTGTCGGGGCGCAGCGGGTCCGATTCGCCTTCGACTCCGGGCCGATGCAGCCCGCATTGACGCACGCTGCTCCGATCCTGCCCTGCCTACGTTGAAGTCGGCCTGTCCCGGAGCACGGGGAATATTCAAACATAATAAACGTGTAATGTGGGGACGATTTTAGGACTAGTTTTGCCCATGTGGGGCGTATTGTTTGATTTTTCGCCCAATATCCCCTGTAGGGGGACACGCCCGACCTAAAGCCTACGTCTCCCCTGCGCGAGGTGCTCACGCTGCACGCCGGGCAGCAGCTCTGGGTGAAGCCCCGCGGCCCCGGCCACGACGAGCCGGCTGGCCGGCTCGTCGCCGGCGTCGGCTCTGGCGTGCGCTGCCAAGGCCCCCCGCCTGGCGCCGAGCTCCCACGATAGCGAGTTTCGGTGTCGTTCAACCGATCCCCATCCCCATCCCCGTCCCCTTCGAGGCTCCCACCAAGTTAGCCCCCCAGTTGGGGATACACCCCTCGAAAGCCGAAGGGAACGGCCTGTATCCCCATCTAGGGGGGCTAAATCGGCCAGCGGGGCCCATGCCACGCCTCTGGGGATGGGGATCGGTTAAACGATGCGCAGAGGGGGGTGGGGGGAGGGGGGAGGGCTGCTTAGAAGCGCCCCTGCTTCTTAGAAGGCGCGGGCCTTATCTGTAGATGTAAGGCCAGCGCCTTCTAAGAAGCAGCCTCCTTCTAAGAAGCCCTCCCCCCTCCCTCCACCCCTCTCGTGCGCACCGCCAACGCCTGGCGCCGATCTTCGACGATAGCGAGTTTCTCGATCCCGGCAGTCTCTCCTCGATCTCGACCTCTGGAGCCGCTCCCTGCCCCGGGGGCGGTGAAAAAAGCGGACGTGGGGCGCAGGGATGCCGCTGGTGCATCGCCGATGCATCGCGGATGCGTCGCCGATGTATCGCCGATGTATCGGCGATGCGGCGCGGTCCTCCGACCTCATCTACTCCGACCCCATCTAGGAGGCTTCTACTCCCTGCCCTAGGGGTTGTGAAAAGCGGATGTGGGGCGCAGGAAGGCCCCCGTGGAGGAGGGGAGCTCTGGGGGCTGCGGATGGAGAAGCTCATGCTGCCGGGTGTCTGGGACCGCCGCCGCCGCGGGCTGCTGTCCCCGCCATTTGCCGCTGCCGCTGCTCCACCTCGGTTCCGTCCTCGCTGCATCGGGGGCGGCAAAGAGGGGGGTGATGACTAGGGGGCCATGATATTTCCACAGATTTCATGGCGCCTCTTCTTACTTCATTGCGTCCCTGGCGGCCCCCCCCCGGGGCTTCGCACATGCCGCCGGCCATGCTTTGCGCCCCCCCCTCTTGGACACCCCCCTCTTGGCCGCCCCCGATTCCAGGCCGCCCAGACGGGCCCGGAGTGCGGGGGCGGCCAGCGGTCCGCGCCGCATCGCCGACGCGCCGGCGATGTCTCGCGACCCGGGAGCCCGACCTTCTTTTTCCCGACGACGCCGATGCATCGTCGATGCATCGGCGATGCAGCGCGGTCCTCCGATCCCCATCTGCTCTGCTCTCGTTTGGGCGGCCCCCTGCTCGCGGACGTCGTCGCGGCGTCCTGGCCAGCATCCAGCCGTCTTGGGCGCCCATCTCGCCACTGCGCCGCGGGCGCGGGCGGTGGGAGCGCCCGCAGGCCAGAGCGCGTGTCGGCCAGTTTCCGAGCCCAGGGCCGCCCTGGCGGTCTCGGGTGGGTGCCCTGGCGGCTGCCTGGGCCCGCTGGAGCAGTTTCGCGAAAGAATTCGGATGGTGCATCATGCATGACAGAGGACCACCAGAGAAATGATCCTACGCATCGAGAGTCCCTTGACACCCGCACGGCGGTCTTGTGGTGCGGATCAGCTGTCCAGCGGGTTTACGCGCGCTTGCAGTCACGAGAGGGTTCGGTTGTGCAAACAGCGTGGACAGGCTGGGCCCCAGCGAGCCACCTCTGACAATCGGTTGGCCGTCTCGCTCTTTTCCTTTCTCCGCATGAGAGTGGCTCGTCGGGCCCGTGTTCGGGGATCAAGCGTTGCTGCGTGTGTTCGTGCACTCTTCTCCCCTCCTCTCCGTCCTTGCACTGGGCTTGCTCGACCCCCTGGCCAACCGCAGTGAGGCAACTTATCAGGGTGGTCCTCACCTCCTGCTCTCGCCTGCTGCGGGAAGTTGCTCTCGAGTCGCGTAGTGTTCCTCGCCTCCACCGCCCGTGGTGGTTGCGTCAGAGACGCGTTTCGATTCCTGACCCTCAGTGTTGTGCGGCCGTGAGCGTCGAGGCGTGCAGGTTCTCCAGGGCTGTACCTTTCGTTCGATGGTTCGTCTTGCGCCATCCTGTGGCTGTCACTGGGGGAAGACATTCTGAGCGGACCCCTGGCCGGGAGGCCACCGAGTGCATCGAAGTTTGCTTTCCCGAGATTCGTCTGGATAGCTAGGGCAGTCACTCAGACCGTGCAGTGCGCGTGCGGCGCGTGGTGCACCGCAGCGAGCACCACTGGCAAGCTCTTGGAGACCTTGGCGCGCGCCTGGAAAGAGGGCAACAGCTGCACGGACCACGCATTCGGCAGGCAGCATGCGTAGCAGCCACGCCGGACGAGTCAGGACGGCGCCCACCAAGCAGACAGCACCGAGCAGTCGCACAGCAGACCCCCGCAGCACGGGAGTTTGCTCGTGTCTAGGCCTCCCAGATGGGGTCCGAGCAGATGGGTCGGAGGATGGTGCGGCATCGCCGATGCATCGGCCATGTGGTCTGATGTGGAGCCCGATTCTCTCCACGCTGACATCGCCGATGCATCACCCACGTCGACGATGCATCGCCGATGCATCGCCGCTGCATCGGCGATGCGGCGCGATCCTCCGACCCCACCCAGGAGGCCTCCATCGTGGCTGATCGGCAGGAGGCGCGCTGGCAGCAGCGAGTGGGAAACCTACGCCGCGTGGCTCGACGGGGGCCTCTCCGGGCGCCCGTCTTCTGCGCCCACCTTGGAGGCCGCGTGAGGGGGGGGCGATAAATGGGAGGGCAGCGAGGGCTGCAGAATAGGGGCCCCAGGGGCCCCAAAGGGGGCCCGAGGGGCCCGAGAAGTGCACCTTTCCTTCTCCCCCCCACATTTGTCGCCCGCCTGTTCCCCAGACCCCCGACGTCGTGATTCTTCCACAACGTCGACCCCCAGAGGTCTCGACCCCTTCCCCGGGACCGGTTTGACGCTCCCGAGGCCCGGGCAGGGCCCCCGGAGGCCGAACGTGGCGAAAAGCTTCCCGTCGTGATCTTTTCTCAGCGCGAGGGGCTCTGGGACTCGTTCGCGCCCCAGCACCGCCTCCGCCGCTCCGTTCCGCCCCGCGCCAGGCGGCACCGTCGAGAACGAGGACCGGGGCCCCCGCCCTGCCGCCCTGCGCAGAGCCGGGGAGGCGGATGAGGAGGAGGAGGAGGAGGAGGAGGAGGAGGAGGAGGAGGAGGAGGAGGAGGAGGAGGAGGAGGGAGGAGGGGAGGAGAGGAGGAGGAGGAGGAGACGAGGAGGAGGAGGAGGAGGAGGAGAGGAGGAGGAGGAGGAGGAGGTAGGAGGAAGGAGGAGGAGGAGGAGGAGGAGGAGGAGGAGGAGGAGGATGAGGAGGAGGAGGAGTAGGAGGAGGAGGAGGAGGAGGAGGAGGAGGAGAGGAGGAGGAGGAGGAGGAGGAGGAGGAGGAGGAGGAGAGGAGTAGGAGGAGGGAGGAGGACAGGAGGAGGAGGAGGGGAGGAGGAGGAGGAGGAGGGAGGTAGGAGGTGTGAGGCTTAACGGGGGGGCCCCGCCGCCCTGCGCTTCGCGCCCGCCCGCCGCGCGCCTTCTTCCTGGCGGAGGCGGGGCCTGTCCCTCTACAGGGGAGGATGTTCCAAAATCGTATGGGGACGATTTATGGAGTATTTTTTTTGTTTTTTTTGTTTTTGTATTTTTCATTTTTCGCCTAAGACTAGGGGGGACATGCACGACCTAAGACTATGGGGGGGGACCATCATGGCGGGGGCCATGACATTTCCCCAGGCTTCACGGCGCCTCTTCTTGTTTCAATGCGTCCCCGCCCCCCAACCTGGGCCGCGCACACGCCGCCGACCATGATTTGCGTCCCCCCTCTTGGACGCCCCCGATCTAGTCATATCCGCTGCCGCTGGGCAAAGAAGAAACACGCCATAAGTATATACTTTTGGCGCTCCGCGCGGGTTTCTTGGATCCGCGCTGCCCCCCCCCCAGCGGCGCCTCCGCCACTGGCGCGTTGCGCGCGCCAGGGAGGGGGGTCCAGCGCAGAACCAAGAGATCCGCGCGGAGCGCCAACAGTTGATGCTTATGGCGTTCTTTTTTCTTCAATAATTACGACACTGATGACGATCGTGACAAGGCGTTGGCCCCGCAGGGACTCGCCGAGACCTGCTGTGAGCTCGCTGGGTAGGGTAAGCTTTCTGGGTATCCACTGCCGCTGGCCTGGCCAGGGGCAGGGCAGGGCAGGGCAGGGCAGGACAGGGCAGGAGAAGTATGATGATGAGGAGGAGGAACCCTGGGGAAGCAGGGAGGAGGACGAGGAGGAGGAGGAGGAGGAGGAGGAGGAGGAGGAGGAAGGAGAGAGGGGGGGCAGGAGGAGGAGGAGGAGGAGGAGGAGGGGAGGAGGGGAGGAGGAGGAGGAGGAGGAGGAGGAGCGGAAGGAGGGGGAGGCGGAGGTTGAAGCGGAGGCGGAGGCGGAGGCGGAGGAGGAGGACGGAGGAGGAGGAGGAGGAGGAGGAGGAGGAGGAGGAGGAGGAGGGTAGGAGGAGAGAGCGGGAGGAGGAGGAGGAAGGAGGAGGAGGAGGAGGAGGCGGAGGAGGAGGCGGTTAGGCGGAAGCGGAGGCGGAAGGCGGAGGAGGAGAGGAGGCGGAGGAGGAGGACAGGAGCGAGGAGAGAGGAGGAGGAGGAGGAGGAGGAGGCGGAGGAGGAGGAGGAGGACAGGAGAGCAGCCTACAGGCGGAGGAGGGAGGAGGAGTGAGGGATGAGGGCGGGATGGGATGGATGGAGGGGGACGGTAGGCAGGGAGGAGGAGGAGGTAGGACGGAGGATGGAGGATGAGGGAGAAGAATGAGGTAGGATTGACGGCGAGGAGTGAAGAATGAATGAGGAGGATGATAATGATGAGGAGGAGGAAGAGGGGCTCTTTGCCAGGTCCTTGACGCGCCTGAGCGCCACTGGTGGAAGGCATTCGAGCGGAGCCGCGGTTTTCTGCCCTCTGGCATCGTCTTGCCTTCCTGGGGTCCTCGTCGAAGAGGTGCAGGACCGGCGAGCTTACGCGGCCATGTGAGGCAATGCTGCAGCGCTGCGGGAGAGGAGGGCTCCACTCGGCCGCCAGGGGGTCCTGGAGTGCATCGTGAGCCTTCAGCACCCCCAGCACGGCGTCAGGCGCGCGCGGGGGGCCCCGCCCCGCGGCCATGCGCCCCAGCTGTCGCTCCTCCGGCTTCGGCCCGTCCCGCCTCCCCCGCCCCATCTCCGATCGTGGAGCGGTCGCGCCTGCCACCTCGGACGTTTCCGTTTGTGTATGTGTGTTTGTGTGTGTGGTTCTTTGGTTGTTTGCTTGTTAGTTTCTTTGTTCTTTGTACGCGCGCGCGCGCGTGTGTGTGTGTGTGTGTGTGTGTGTGTGTGTGTGTGTGTGTGTGTGTGTGTGTGTGTGTGTGTGTGTGTGTGTGTGTGTGTTGTGTGATGTCCAGTGCCGTGCCGTACGCGTGCGTGCGTGCGTGCGTGCGTGCGTGCGTGCGTGCGTGTGTGTGTGTGTGTGTGTGTGTGTGTTCGTGTGGGTGGGTGGGTGGGTGGGTGGGTGGGTGTCTGTGTTTTTGCCCAATCCTCCTGTGGTGTTGGGTCGTCGCTTTGAGTCCGCAGCGCCCGGCGTCTCACTCCCACCTCCAGCCTCCCCTTTCATCTCCTTCTCCCATATCGCAGCGGGCGCGACCGCATGTCGGCGCCGCACCCTACACCCTTCACAAGCTTCGTGCTGCTTCGGGAGTTCCACCAACGGTCTCAGTCGGCACGACCAGATGGCGTCGCCGCCCCAGTTTCGACACGCCCCTACTCCCTCCTCCCTCCTCCGTCTTCCTTCTTCCCTCCTCCTCCTCCTCCCTGCTCCTTCCTCCCTCCTCCTTCATCCTCCTCCTCCTCCTCCTCTTCCTTGTCGCAGCGGGCGCGACCGCATGTCGGCGCCGCACCCTACACCCTTCACAAGCTTCGTGCAGCCTCCAGGAGATTCCACAATTCTTTCGCCCTTGCCTGGAGGGAGGCGGCGCACGCCCCCCCCCCCCCAAAGTTTCGGACACGCCCCTCCTCCCTACCCTCCCTCCTCCCGTTCTTCTTCTTCCCTCTCCTCATACCTCTCCCTACTCCCTCATCTCCCTCTCCCTCTCCCTCCTCCTCCTCCTCCCTCCTCCTCTACGCATCCTCCTCACTCACTCCTCCTCCTCCCCCCTCTCCTCCTCCTCTCCTCATCCTCCCCCCCTCCCTCCTCCATCTCCCTCCTCCCTCCTCCTCCTTACTCCTTCCCTCCTTCCTCTCCTCCATTCCTCCTTCCTCCTCCTCCTCCTCCTCTCCCTCCTCCTCGTGCCCGCGCTTGCCCAGAGCCAGGCGCTACAGGGTCGAGATCGAGAGCATCAAGACGCTGCTGGTGGAGTGCCTCGAAGGCGGTCCGCCCGGCGCCCCCTCCCCCGCTCCGTGGCCCGCCCGCCCGCCCGCTGCCCCCCGCCGCGGCAGCAGCGGCACCAGCAGCGCAGCCTGGGCGAGCAAGACGAGCGCTAAGTCGGGCATGTCCCTCTGCAGGAGGAACCTTCAAACCTGGTGCAAGAGTGGCCCTCTACAGGAGGCATCTTCACAAACAGTAAAACTAGTCCGGGGAGGATTTTGTTGACCATTGTTCGTTTTTTGAGTACCTTTTGAATCTTTTCGGTTTCTCGTCCCACATCTCCCTGTAGGGGGACGTGCCCGACCCAAGCCTGGGCGAACACGACGAGCGCGGCGGGCGAAGCGCGAGAGCTTCTTCCCGGGGGCCCTCCTGGGGGGGGCCTCGCGGAGGCCTCTTTGCAGGGCCCGCCTGGGCCGCTGGAGCTCTCCGTGTGAGATCGCTGTCTGGGCACGCTCGGCCGACTCCGATCAATCAATCAATCAATCAACAACGCCGTGTCTGCACGACACATCGGCTGAAGAAGTGCCGCCGGCTGGAGGCGCATGTCCAGACCAGGGCACAGAAATCAACGATAGTTCAAGAAAAGGTGTACCGGCTGGCGATTTTCCTCCACATGTGCGGGTTATAGTGTCCAGCGATAACCCGGATTATCGGGCCTGCCCCTTTTCCCCCCCCCCCCCCAGGATAACCTAACCTTGCCAGTTGTGCAGGGCTGGGGGGGGGGGGCGCGGGCATGTGGCATATGCAGGTTTGCCCACAGCGCGAAGGTTAGGTTATCGGCCGGCTCCCTCCTTCCCCCCCCCCGCGGATAACCCCTCCTTCCCCCCCTCTCCTTCCCCCCCTCCTTCTCCCCCCCCGCTCCTTCCTTCGCCGATTCAAAAAAAAGCGGTCTCCAAGCAGTATTTGATGCCCCACAGTCTGCCGACCAGAAAGGTGCGTTGGACGCTTTTGGCCCTCTTTGGGCCTGGCGGAGGCCTCCGGAGGTCTCCTGGGAGCTCCAGAGGCCTCCAGAGGCTTCCGCGGACCCTGGGTGGCCCCACGGGAGGGGGACGGGGGATGGAAGGATGACAGAGCTGTCCCAGACCTCCTCGCGTTGTGATGGTTTGGACCTCTCCCCTTTCTGAAAAAGTGCTGACGGAGGGACGTGGGCCACTTTCGGCCTCTGGAGGGGGCTGCACTTGCCAGGCCCCAGGACCGTTAAAGAACAGCTCGCGATGAAGAGCCGGTCCTCGCGACGGGGTCCATACCTCTCGGGACCCACGTTGTGAAGAAGTCGCGACGGCGGAGTCCTGGGAAGGACGGATGGTGGGAGGAGGGCCGGGCTACAGAGGAGGGGAGGCAGGGGGCAGAGGAGAGTGGGGGACGCCGAGAGTGCAGCGTGA